ATATATAGTATTTATATAATAAAATATTCTATGTGATTCTATAGTATCATCAATCATTACAATAATATTTTTAAGGTATGCTTTTTTCCTATTAGTAGGGAAATGTCTTAAATGAGAAGTATAAACCATGCTATTCCTCTCCATATGAACTATCATGAAGCTATTGGAAAGAATCCCTCATGTCTTTCTCCTCCTTCCCTGCTGACAGCATGTTGTGAGGTTTGGCTTCACTCTGGTCTTTCCAGGGGTCCTTTCCTCTTCGTTCCTTTTCACTTTAATTCTTTTGCATGGTCTACCTTTCACTAGCTATGCCTTTGTCTTACTGTCTTAATAAATCTTTTTGCTTGAAAAAAAAATCACTCAGATTTAGGCATTCACGATATTTTTTTAAAAACTAAAAAGGTGAAATATCTATGTGTATGTGTACACACACACACTCTCAATCTCTCTCTCTCGTGTGTGCATACACATCCTCCTATAAATATGCTCCCACTTGGAGGAAAGTGACTATAATGAAACAAAATGACAAAAAAATAGAAAGGAAAGAAAAGCCTCCATTGTATATATATTTTTTCACAGGATGACAGTAAAGAAGGATTTAACAGAAAGTTTAAAACATCACCATCAATTTGCTAACTAAAAATAATCACCATTTTGAAAATTAAATCCGAAATGATCAGACAAAAATATGTTTGGCTTCACTTCCAACATGCTTAAAAGAAATGAAATGATGTTTATAATGAAAGGGTCTAAGTGGCCTAGTGGTAAGAAGTTGCAATGCAATTCCAAAAGCATATGGTTCAAATCCACCAGCTGCTGCCCGGGAAAACGACAAGCAAACTCTTCCTGTGTGATTCACTGCCTCTGAAAACCCACTGGAGCACCAGCTATCGGTTGGTTTTGACTTGATGGCACACAACAATGAAAGGAGTCAGTCATAGTCATAATCATTCTAACAAATGTTCTAATGCGATTTAAGTCAATTCTCACACACAGTGACCCTGTATGGCAAGAAGAAAAGCTCTGTAAAGATTAATGCAATTTTTACAGGAGCAGATTGCCAGATCTTTGCTCCCATGAAGCTGCTGGTGGGTTTGAACTATCATTGTTTTGGTTGGTAATAGAGCACTTAACCACGTTTGCTACCACAGTCCTTAAGCATGACAGCTTGTTTACAAATGGCTATAACTGATTTTCTTCTTTCTGCACAGAAACCGCTTCATCTATCAAGTTGAATCCTCTTGCATTGAATATGTCCTTGTTAACTGCCTTGGCTAGTGGGAAATGATTCAAGCCAGATCTGGGTCTACCCATGAGTGTGCTTTCTCTGTGGAGCAGTTAGCTGTCATAAACAGAAGTCAAACCACCTAACACCACAACGCTAGCTAGCCAAATGGAGAGGTGACCTAGAGGAAAACTTAAGACCAAACTGAAAATGAACTAAGACCTCACATTGCAACTCTAACAAGTTATCTCTGTTTGTTTCCAGCCTCTGGAGTCCTCACTCCCAGGTGATGACACTGTCCACATCCATGAACAAATAGTAGTTGTTTTTAAACAGGAGTTTAATTTGCAGTAATAGTTAACACAAGCACCATGAATAAGGGTCAAACTGTCAGGTTTCTTTTGAGTTAAAGAAATGTTCTCTCTACTTTTAAGACTCCAAAGTGCATTTATGTAAGAGTAGAATAGGGGAATGTTACCTACATTTGCTTTTCAAAACATCTGTACTGCAGGAACAATAATTAAAACTATCAGATTTCCCTACTTAGGCCTTCACGGCACTACAGTATGGCTGGAAATGACTTGCTTTCTTAAAGAGTTTCTACCCATAAAGAGTTATGCCTATCTGTAAGTTTATAGAAACTCTAATATATTATTCATACTACAGCAGATATATAGGGGAGAAACTAGTGCACACTTTCCTTTAGCAGTATTTTAGTAAGTTTACCTTGCAAATCAAGGACCAGCAACTCTCCTCTTGTATATTCGTAAGTCCAGTGGCTAAAGGCTAACATGATCTCTTCCAGTGTATTAGTTGGAATAATCTCATCACCATTATTATTATTGTATTTTCTAAATTCTCCAGTCATACATTCTTCCACAGCAAACCACTGTCCTGCTGAATGGCAATACAGCAGGAAGACTTCAAGGAACCTTATGAAAAATAGTTACAGACATTACTATCAGTATAAAATCCCAATTAGGTTAATAATTTAAATATTTAGCATTAATTATAAGGACAGAAAGATATGGCTAGCCACATTAATAGTAAAATATTCTAAAAAAATATAAAAAGATCTACCTCGGGGAATATGGTATGGATTTGGGTTTCATTTGGTTGAAGGCAAAAGTGAGCTTCTGCGCTGCTCTCTGTTGCTGAATTTCCTACATAATGAGATGGGGTAGAGGAAGAATAACTCTGGTCAATATTTAAACTAAGATTTTATTTGTTCTATCATACTTTTAAAACCAAAGTAAGCTCCTATTATGGTCCACTGTTATGTACTGGTACTTACTCTGAGGCAGAGATGCAGAACGGTATCTTCTTTATAAATACTTGCCCATGTGTTAACCACTTCAGGAAGAAAAGATTTGATGATATAAAGGTGCCCTGATTTGAGGATATCATGTTCTGACCAGGTACACTGTACTTTGACAGCTCTTCGTAAACCTCCTCCCATCTCCTCTTTACTTAAAAACTCTATTTTGGCACAGAGGCCGAGCTGTGACCAAGACGACATGCTGTTATTTAGTATGTTGGGAGAACTCTCTTCCAAGCGATACACAGTGACAAGCTCACCTGCAACATAATGGACACATTTTATTCTCAAATTATGACTTTAAAAATGACAAAGTAGAATAAAACTTGACAAGTATCTTCAGCTAAGAATGGTTCTTCCTCTTATCGATGCATACTTGATCTAGAAAGTTACTTCAAGTCTCAAAACTCATCACCAGGAGTTGGAATTGACTCATAGCAGATCCTTTAGGGGGTTTGAGGCTGTAAACTGCCCAAGAGAAGGCCCATTTCCCCCCATAGGACGGCTATTAGATATGAACCACTGGCAAGGCACTGCCTTTGCAACAGTAGGGTAATGACTCCTTTAGCAGTCCTTAAGACCAGTGGAAAATTTATATAAAACTTGACACTTATTAATGTGATCCTTCTTGTTTATGTTCCCACTCAGACTGGAGGTAAAAGCAAAAAAAGTATTTTTCCCTTCTTAAAACTTTACCTCTTGGAGGCACTGGTGTGAACGGAATGCTCAGTGACAATCTCATCAGGTTGTTTCTTTCCACAGCTGCATTAAAAGTGAGAGGGAAAGAATGCAGTGAGGGAAAAGTTCAAAATGTTACTAAATTTTGTTTTTATATATTAGAATACTACTTACCTGAATAATAGTAATTTGTATCCATAACTGGCTTAAATGGAGAAGCAAGACCTAAGTACCAAATAAACAAACGAGCCTTTTTAAAAGGTACAAAGGAACATGAATTTTTGTTCAGACATTGACAGAAACTTAAAATATGAAGTTTTAAAATAATTTTCTAAATTACACCACTTCGCAAAAAACAAAACAAAATAAAATAAATATAGCCCAGGAATAAAAGGGGGGAACATCCATTTAGTAGCTTATTCCCCTTTTTCACCATGTCTCATTAGTGGCCATGCGCATTCAAATATCTGGAAGGGAAGCAGCACATGATGTCCCACATTCTCTCAACTCCCGTCATAAATTGCATTCTGTTTATATGGCCCCATGCGAAAAAAAAAACCAAAACAAAACAAACAAAAAAACCAAAAAACAAAACCCAAACCAAAACATCTAGTTATTGATTTTTTTAGTGGCTCTTCTAATCATTTTAGCAAATATACAGCTATAGAGTTTTTTTCTGATAGTTTTAAGTCTAGGGTTCATGAAGACAACTTTCAAAAAAGTGAAAAGTATGCGGGAATATAGAGGATGACTTGTCCACGCCTAAATTATGCTGGAAGACTACTTTTAACTCTTAAGAGGAGAATAATGAAGAACATGTCTGCTGAATAGCAAGGTTCTGGAATGAGAAAGAAAACAAAAACCCACCACCACCAAAACTAACCCTAACTTATTAGAGAAGGGAAAGTTAGTCAACAATTTTAACACTAATAATTATATGTAAATGTACAGTACAGTAAGACTATAGATGATTTAGAAGAGGTTGAAGCTTGATGAAGTTTAAGTATATACTGGACTTGGGAAACATTAAGTAACTTATTATAAATAGGGTAGTAGTTTTCAACATTACTTGTATGCCAGAATCACCAGTGGAGCTTTGGGAAATGTCACTCTAAAGTGTTGTAATACTGTAGTTTTATATTCTCAAACAAAGGATTTTTTTTCTTTTTTTTAAACAAAGGAATTTTTAAAAATGACTTAGAAATGACTTTAAAAATGACTTAGAAAAAAGGCTGCGAACGAACTAATGATTAAGAGTACAGGCATACCAGGAAGAGGTGAGGCTGCAGAAGCAGAAAATACCAATTGGAGAACATACTTGATTGCTTCTACCCAAAAAGCTGGAGGTACAAGCCATGTAGACTGAGGCCTTGGTTTTGAAATAGGTCTGACAAACTATTTCTGGAAGCTCAGTAACGGAAAGTCCTACAGAGCACAATGTTACACGGACACACTGGGCTGTTGAGAGCTGCAGTCCACTGGACAGTTATGGTTAGCTGGTAATATGACGTCCTTGAGGACAGGTACTGGATTTTATCCAATGATAATGAGAAAAATGTAAGAGAGGAGTAAACGACATGATCCTATCTATTAGAAGAATAATTTTGGTGGAAGAATAAAAGATTACAAGTGGAACTAGAGGATGTGAGTTCAAATCTCTACTGTGAAAATCTATTTGGCAATAATTACTAAAGGTTAACATATGCATCCCTCTCGATTCAGCAATCCACTTCAAGGGATATATCCAACAAAAAATATGTATGTTTACCAAACAATATATACAGGAATATACAGCCAGATCCTGCAAGTTACTGAAATGGTTACCGAACAGTAGAGTGGATTAATATATTTATCTAAGGAAATAGTGTATAGCAGTGAGAATGCAAACTCCCACCATACATAAACTACCAATTCACACTGTAATACAGATACACTTCATAAACACAAGCTAAAAGGAACAAGATAGACATAAAAGAATATATATTGTATGATTCCATTTATATAGAGTAACAAAACAGGCAAACTCCAGACTATGTTGCTGATTAGGAGCAGAGGTGATAACACAAATGAGGCAGAAAGGAACTAGTATATTGAGAATATTGTGTTTTATACTCTGGATAATAAAATTACACTTTGGTGAATTCTCTAAAACGTAAGCTTATGAACTGTGTTCTACATGTGGATTAAGAAAAATATCAAGGAAAAAGTTGAAAATGATGGTGTGAACAGAAAGCAGGAGTCGACAGAGTGGACGGTGGACTCTAGAGACATTTAAGAGGTAAAAAGCAACAAATTTTTGTAAGTAAAAGAGCAAGATGATCAAGGACAACACACTCTGGTTTCATCTAGCTCAAGAACTCTATTCATTAAAAGAGGGATTACAAGACAAAGAGCAGCTAGGGATCAGGAATGAAGAAAACAGTGACATAAAGATATTATCTCTCACAGTAAGCTCATGTGCTTGTGAAAACATCGATAGCATTCAACTACAATGGTATTTTATAAAGATTAATTCTAATATCTTGACCAAAAATAATGTGGCATTTGCTAATAAAGATTATATATGATTTTCAACTTTCCACATGAAATGTACTACACAGACTCACCATTTAAGTTTCCTTCTTCAGATGGCCTAGAGAAACACACAAATACAAAGTATAAGTTGCAGCATAATTTTAGTTTAGGTTGTTGGTTCTAAATCAGAGGCCTTATGAACAACAAAACACAGTACTGCTTGGTCCTGTGTCAGCCTCACAATTGTTATGGCTGAGTCACTGTTACATCCACTGCATAAATCCATATTGTTGAGGAACTTCATCCTTTTTTCATTTATGCTATCATTTAATATTATCTTCTGAAATTATCATACTCAACACATTATTAAAGAAATTTTGGGATTATATTCTTCATTTGAGTATCTGCCATTTCCAAACGATTTTAATCAAGTTTCAGATCCACACATAGAAGATTCATACAGATGTTCTTTGTTAGCAAATCTTGTATCTCTAAGATAAGCCTATATAAGTAATATTACTGGATCAGTGCCTAATTGACAGCTCATTACTGACAGACTTCTTTATTCGTAGAAATCCTTTAAAAAAAAAAAAAGAAATCCTTTCCAGTAATATAAAATAAAACTGACAATGAATTTTATTAATTCAATGTCAAAATAACATCTCTTTGGAGAATAGCAAATAAATGGCATTTTCTAAAACCATCTTAAAAAACAAAAAAAGGATGCTATTTTCCAACAGAAATTTTGACTTCAATGTTGCATAAATGAAAAAATGTGCAAGAAAAAAGAGGGCTAGAAGCTTAGTCTTCTATTGTTCAGCTAAGCAGCCTTGCTCAGGAGTCAGCTAATCTCCAGAGGAGAAGCCCGATGAAGTCTCTTTACTGCTCTTTTATTCTATCTGAATCTGATTTTTTTCCTCCCAATAACTTTCACCTTAATAGTAGAAACATTTTTTTTCAATCAAATATTTTGATATGAGCATTAGCTCTGGGAATAAGAAAAACTGATACACTTGAATTGTGGTATTGGTGACAAACGTATCATGGACCACCAGAAGAACAACTCTGTCATGGAAGAAGTACTCAGAATGCTTCTTAGAAATGAAGATGGTGAGACTATCTCACATGCTTAGGACATGCCGTGAGGAGGACACCAAGCTTGGCAAAGCAGATAGCAAAAAAAGGAAAGTTCTCAGTGAGGAAGACTGACACAATGGTAACAACAATGCTTCAACAAAGCAGTGTCCGTGAGAAGGATGCAGGATCAGGCAAAGTTTCTTTCCGTTATATTATAAACTGGAACCATCTCATCTAACAACAATATAACAGTATAATCTCTTAGTCTGTTTTTTAATAAACTACTTCTTCCTTCTCCTGCCCCACAGCTCCTTATTTCAAAGCACTGCTACAGGTCAGGATTCTAAAAGACCACAGTAACATCAACTTCAAGTATTTAATTCTTTCTTATACCCTAGGGCTTTGGTTATATAAGATCTTAAGGAGGTGTGACATTAGTTAAATTTTCCAAATACCATTCAGGATAAAAAAATTTCAACAACTGCTTAACTCATGCACTTGTCTTCTTTCCTCCTCAGTATATTCACATCCTTTTCTGATGTACAAAAGGGAAGGAAAAAAACCCATAAACTCCACCACAGAATATAGAATAATGCTCCTCACACTGGCTTCCCTTTTTAAATGATCCTCATCAGAGTAATCTCATCATGTTTCTAGCATTAGGTAAATAGTAAAACAAGATTTTTAAAGTAATGCCCTTAAGAATCCTATAACACTAATTTCCAGACTAGAAACAAAAGTTACCTTGTCTAATATGTTACTGAAAAAACTCTTTTCTTTTCCCTGGATGGTTATCTAATAGACTGCCTTATCTTTACACTTCTGATTCTGAGTTATCACATTAACATTCTATTGACTTTCCAAAATGACACGTTTTTCTAGTGGGTAGTATAAAACATTAGTATGAAACATTACTGCTCTAATCATCAAAGAATGTTCCATAGGGAGATGGAAAGCCTCAATCAGAATGAGTAGAGAAGTTATCAAGTGTGAAACTATCAGACTATATCTTAGAACAAATTTATTCAAGATCAAGTTGAATACAGGAATGAATCATGGAATCCTAACTTTATGATTACATGGAGGAGGACAGTGAATTTCTAATTATAGCTTATATTTAATTATGCTTATAACTATATAAAATAAAAATCTTAAACTTACACATTAACTTATATATGTAAAGATAAGAAAAACTGTAACAAATAATTATTACCTAAAGACAAAGGAGCAATGATAATGCAAAGAGTAGAAAATAATATTCACTAACAATGATTTTCAGGCCAAGAATGAAGAAAGCTTACTTACATTTGTCTGTTTGATGGTTTATCTTGTAGCCAATCCTTTAGTAAAAAACAAACACATACAAAAAAGAAATCATTTCTAGAGGAAATAATAACTATTTAACCTTATTTTATTTCTTCTAGTAAATTTAAAGAATGAAGGACTGATGAGCAAATATGACATCTTGTTTCACACAACTGAGTAATAAACGAATGAACTATTATACGGCTAATCCACAAAGTGAAATAAAGAATATACATTACTGTTATTTTTGGAAACATAATCAATTATAGTTTTTGGTAGCATTTTGAAATTTTTAATTATTTCTAATGAGAATTCTACCTTAATATAAGCAATTTTTATTCTTTTAAAAATAAGGTATTCCTTGTGCTAAAATAAAAGCACATATACACATTAAGATGGAAACAAAAATTACATAAATCTTGAACTCAAAGATTAAATACTATTTAGGTGATACACTGCAGAATTTTTTTTGTGTGTTGTGCACATACACTCTTTTATAAACATATTCTAGGTGTGCACTGGTGGTCCAGGCTGGGGGAACTACACTGCTAACTCAAAGGATATGTCTCTCTGGCAGTTCAAACCCAAAAGTTATGAGCTCTTCTGACCTGATATTAATGACACGTTGAGGTGTGCATTTACTTTTTATCTTTTTTTTTTTAAAGCTATAAATGAGGCAATTTATTAACCCATCATCAGTTATTCTAATGTTTCTTGTTGGCAGCTGCCACCTGCCCGGCGATTCTGTCCAGATCTCTCTGTCCCTGAGGTGTCAGTTTGCGGCCCCCATCTTGGTCTTTTTTCACCATTTTGAGCCCTTCCAGGACTTGGAGGACACGGCAGGCCACGCTTTTGGAACCTCAGCTTAAGTGGCTGGACATTAAGCTGTGTCTCTGCTGCCCCCTGTAGAGTTTGGTCATGGCGCCAACCCCAGCACCACCTCAGAGGTACAGGTGCCACACTGTGGAAGCAGCTCACGTGTAGAATCAGTTCTCATCGTAGGAAGCAAGCTCTTTATGCTTGGCCAGCTTGACAAGTGTGACCCATTCGGGGACTCTGAGCTTCCTGGACTTTTTGAGGAAGGCTGCCAGAGCTCTGATGAACTCCTGCTGGTTCACATCTTTTACAGTAACCAGGCATCATGCGACCTCCTCGCTACTACTGTGTGCATTTACTTTTACTTCCTTTCATGGGACTCATGAATTTGAATCTTCACATGTACCATGAATTTGGAAAATTCTAAGACATTCATAATCTCTTCAAATTCTATCTACTCTATAAAGGCTACTTAGATGGTCCTCCCCCTACTTAACAGTCCTTTGTTGTGTTTTCACCCAGATTATTAATACCCTCCTTAGCTGTGCTTAATATATTCTTTAGGGGGCTCTGGGGGCCTAATGAGTAAGGAGTTGAGGTGCCAACCCAAAGGCAGACAGGATCCCCTAGCTGCTTCCTGGGTGACAGATGGGCAGTCTTCTTCCATGTGACTTACACAGCCAGCTGGAGGGTCAGCTGAGTGGGATCAGACTTGACAGCAGCTAAGTTTTCAATCTATTCTTTAACTCAGAGTTTTGTTCCTGGATTTGGCCATTTCCTTTCCTCACCACCAATTTACTAGTTTTCAAAATAGTATAGTTTATGATTGCTATGTTGGTACCACTTTTTCTTTCATTTTTTAATCATGCTGAATGTATTTTACAATGTTTGACCTATAATACTACTATTTTTTTTTTTTAAAAATAGTTTTAGTAATGTAAAATTTTCGAAGGGTTGACATAACTTCAAAATATCACTAAATTTTGTTCTTCTCTAAACAAAATTACTTTATGAATCTCACTATGTTTTTAGTTGTCATTGAGCTGATTTAGATTCCTGGAAAGTCTACATGTGTTGAATAAAACTGCTCGACAGAATGTCAAGGCTGCAGTCTTTCAAAAGCACATGACTGTGTCTGTCTTCATAGGCACTTGTGGGTGATTATAATCTGCCAACTTTTTGACTAATAGTCAAGCACTTAACCATGAATGACAAGCAGGAATTCCTTCTAATTTATTTTAAAATACTGATTTGTTTAATGGAAATATACAAACCGGTAGTAAGGCTGCTTTAGAATCAACTTCATGAGTTTCTTCAGTAGATGGCCTTCCTCTGCTGCTATCCACTGAGGGGAAAAAAACAAAGTCAAATTTTTAAAATGTGTTTTAAAACCCAAAATGCTTTTAGAACAGTACAATCTTGGTTAGATAATTTATATTATCCCAATAAAATAGAAAACAGTGTCAGGTAATGTCCATAGGGCCTCCTTGCAGAATCTCAAAAGTATTAAACTTACTTTCATGAAAAGTAGTAAGGATCAAAAGAATAGGAAATGAGAAGACAAACTGTGTATCCAATTAATCTTTAATGGGGCCAATCAAGGTCATCTCTTTTTTTTTTAAAAAAAAAATTATTAAATTTTATTAATTTTAATGAACATTTACAGAGATCTTGGGTATTCATTCATTCATTGTTGCACTTCAAGGTCATCTCTTGTGTATCCTTCTATATTGTTAGGGAAATGTATAAAAGAGTGTCTATGTTTTCTATGAATGTAGAGTGAGGAAAAATAGTTGATTCTTAAGTATTTTTTATCAGATAATGCCTAAAACTGAAATATGAAGCAGCAACAATGCTATACGAGAAATAACATTTCTCCCATCAACAAACCAACGGATAGAAAAGCTCTGTTATATTCACACAAAGGAACTCATGAAATATACAAAATGGGAAACCCTGGAGGACATTAGATAGAGTGAAATATCTCAGTCACAAAAGGACAAATACTACATAGTGCCACTGTTTTAAAGTGGGACTGACATCAGGGTTGGGGGGGGAACTAAGCGGGGATAAATAGTGTATACTGCATTGAACTAGATGAGGAAGAGAACTGTATAGGAGGAATATATGATTAGGTATTATTGTCATGACAAGAGTCCAGAATGAAAGCTACATAGTGGAGTGGGGAGGGGAGGGGATAGTGTAACAATGAAATAATTTTTTTTTAACTTTTAAAAGAAGAAAGCGAAATGGGGGGTGGGGTGGGCAGGGAGGAAACAACCAATGAATGGAAATCCAAAGTCTCTCTAAATTTACATGAAAATAAAAAAAAGAAAAAGAACATTCCTATTATCTGAAAATGATAGTTTTATTTCTTCCTAACAAAACCTTTTATTACTTATTTTTCTAGCTTTATTTTCCTGGGCAAAATGCTAAGTAGAAATAGCAAAGTCAGAAATTTTATTTTCCATTTGGGCTTTCAATACTTAACCACAAAATAAGATGTTTCTGAAAATATTCAGTAGCTATAAAAATTAGATTAAGGGCACTGCAGTGTATTTTTACTTTGAAGAGAATTTTAATCATGAGTAGATGTTGAATTTTATTAAAATTATTTTCCTGCAGCTAGTGAGACACATTTATGATTTTTCTCCTTTAACTTGCTACTATGATCAACTACAGTAATTGTTTTCTAAATGTGAAATCAACTTGAATTCCTGGAATAAACCAAGGTAGTAATGACAGCTACTACTGAATTCATTTTATGAAGAGGAAAGAATAGGCAAACATGGTAATGCTGTTTTTTTTTTAAGTTCTTCATTATTATGGAATTTAAAAATTTAAAAATTTAATAATTTGCACTTATAAAAAAAGCTTAATAAGAAAACAATTCCAAAATACACGAAGTGAAAAAGATGAAAACATAAATGGCATGCCTATTACAGTTCATGTAAGATAAGAAAAAGATTACATGTTCTTGTATATGGATTATGAAACTCTGGAAAGATAAATAGTAATTACATATGAAGCTTATATAAGGAGACTTTTAAAAAAATGTGTGTGTGCATATTTATTTGGAACAAATATATTAGCTATTTTTAAAAAAGTCATGGCTTTAAATATATGTTGAACAAATGATTACATAAATGAAAACACAACAAGCTTACTTGCAAAAGTTAAACTCAATAGATTTTTTTAAAAAAAACAGTAGATTTTATATTTGATTTTCATGCACAAAACACTTTTTAAAAATACCAGAATTTTAAGAATAAGTAACTTATTCTAGGCTTCAACAGCAATAATGGACCAGAACACTCATCTTACAACTCCTGGGTCAAAGGTTAAACGAGCACACCTCACATTATCCTTATAGTCAGAATAAACGGAGCTCTGGTTGCCTAGCGGCAAGCAGCTGCACAGCAATCCCAAAGATGCGTGGTTCGAATCCACCAGATGTTCTGCTAGATAATGATGGGCAATTTCCTGTGCCAGTAAGATCCGATTTGATGGTACACAACAAGAAAAAGAAAAAAAAAAGCCATACAGTCAAAATACTCACCTTTATCAGAATGAAGAGTAACAGAAGTTTTGTGACACTCAATGAATCCTGCATGAGAACGCACACGTTTCAAAGTGTTTTCAGGAGTATCGCTCTGCAAATTGTACACATACATGATTTTTAAGACAACTGAAAGGAGTTTCAAAACACTTTGCTTACTATGAGTCCCTTCATCTAGTAGTTGTTGCTGTTAGGTGCCATCAAGCCAAGTACGACTCATGGTGACCCTATGAAGAGTGGATCTGAACCCAGTCGTATTCTGTGCCATCTTCACACACTAGAGAACACTGCGGCAGTCACTGTGTCAATTCATTTGGTTGAGAGTCTTCCTCTACTTTGCTGACCCTCAACTCTTCCAAGCATCATGTCCCTCTCCAGGGAATTGTCCTTCATCTAGAGTTAGATCAACATGTGCTTTTCAACCTGAACATAAAATACTGGTCCAACAGTTATTTTCTTCAATGTCAATCTCAAAAACTTACATCAAAACATTTTACAGATGGGGCATGTTGTTGTTGTTTGTTGTTATGTGCCGTCGAGTCGTTTGCGACTCATAGCGACCCTATGTACAACAGCCCTAAACCGTGCTCTATCCTGTGCCAATCTCATT